TCACTTGAGAATACCAGGTTCTGTAAGCTTGGATATGCGAGTGATGCAATGGATAATGGCTGGGAACTGTGAATCGTTGAGCCGAGTTCCAATTACGGTCGAGTCCGTTATATTCACTTACGTGCAACTAACAATGGAAAAGGTATGAATTTATCTCCACCTATGGGTTAATTAGTAAGACGTGTACCACTAAAAAGCATTATCTCCAAAGAATCTATATAATTGCATACAAAATATTTAGATTTCGATATGAAATAACCCATAAATGTTGATATGGCGCTAAACAAAATCTTTCCATTATCAAGTTTTCAGAGCCGGTATCTCCTTGCTGTTGACAATTACGCCCCCGCCAAGTGGATATACGATATGATACAAAACAGTATATCATTCTATGCAAATTCAATTTTAACACATCCCAGTATTCCAAACTTTGGATTTTCAATTGTCAGTTTTTACATCCCTAATTACCCGGTGTTCCTTAGCAGTCCCCCATCTAAGCATTGACTGCTTTGACGCTGCTTACCATCAGTGATCGAAACGAAATTTCTGCGTGATTTTGACCATAATGTTTTTTTAAAGCAGTGTAATTTCGGATTCAGTATATACACAATTGTATTTCCCCTTCATAATCATAGAGTTTTTGGAGGCGTAGTTTTTAAAAAGAAGTAATACATCTATAAATCTGATTTATTTGTAGGCCTTCACAGCGCTTTCAAGATATCTCATCTGCACAATACACAGAATCTAAAGATCCGGCATAATGCAATGGAAATGTTTGGCATTTAATTATATCACAAAAAAGTCATTCATACGATGAAGTGAGCTCTCGTCAGTCAGTTTAAAAGAAATCATCTCACGACAATTTATTGTTAGACCTTTCACTTGCCCGAAGCTATTACAATTTTTTTTTTATTGTCCTCTCTTTTTTAAAACATGTCTTTTCACTGATTCGTGCTTTCTTTGTTTCATTACTTCTATTTGTTTGTTTATTATTTAGTTCCTTTTCTTAATGATTTTTTCTTCTGGGTATCTTCTTAAGATTTTTCCTTCGTACCTTTGATTCTAAATAATTTAATATTCCCGTCTACCCCTCACTTTATATTTATCTTTCCCTAACACAAACATTGGTCCAAAAGAAGACCTCATTCCCCGCCCATTTTTTCTTTTTGTTATACTGTTGTATTAATAATAACTAGGTATAAATGCTGCATCTTGTCATTCTTACTGCCTCTCCCTTCGTATCTATGTTAGTTTCTCGTTCACATTGTTCCTTGTCTCTTCATATTTTGTTATTCTATATTGATTTTATATATTCCATACACCTTTTCATTCTTTATACAGGACTGCATTTTATTTTTTATCTTCTACTCTTTGTTTAACCACTATTTTGTATGTCGTCTATCACGGTGTTTTTCTATTATTTTTTTTTATTTCTCCTGTACTATTCAACACTTTCTAATTCTTTCCTTCCCAAGTTCTGCTCTTCTCTCCATGCATTCATTTACTCCGAACCTAGTTTTTGTGTTGTCGTTTATACTTACTTTTAGATATATATTTTGAATAAATATAAAAACTGAAACAAACCGAATTCTATATACAGGATGAGTCAAAATTATGTTAAAACTATTATGAGAGGAATCATTTATTCAGAATTTACTGAACAGTCTCCATCTGTCCAACAACACGAGTGATGCACAGAACCAGCGATCAACAGTACAATTAAATGCCTTGACACACATTTCATGGGAATGTTTGTGATGTAATGGAATAACCTGCAATCCCTATGATTGAGTACTGTATAGGTAGTAACTACCTACAAGTACCTGTGAGTGAACGGACTACAAAGACTAGGTTAGACCTTTTCCAGCTGTGCTGGTCAAACTCCCAGTCTCCGGGCAGATAGGATCCCCAAACGAGGCTATGTCGATGGGCAGTCTCTCGTCTCGGAAAACAGCTACCCGACTCCGTTTTATACAGGGTCTACGGGGACATTTTGGCCGAGTCTACGGACTTAGATTTCCCCACATTAAACTCGACCTTGTGCCACATCCTATCTCCTGGGGAGGCTGGTAAATATCGACTAGCTGGGATCTGTTTCTCAGTTCTTAGCTGTTGTTGAGCTCTCTGACTTCGAGGAGAGAGGAACCCGGACGAGGCTGTGCCGAAGATCAGTCTCTCGTCCGGAGAAGTAGACAGTCCCAAACCCGTTTATGCCAGGTTTTACGGGGAATCTTTAACCCAGACTACGGGCTCGGATTGCCCCACATTAAATTCGTGGTGAGGTTGGTAAATATTACTAGCTGGGATATCTTGAGTACGACTCAGATTTATGCGAGATCTACCGACCTTCCAATCGTAGCACTCACTTCTGGATTGACTTGCGACGACCTTGTGCGTAACTGTTACTTTATACTTATTGTAGCTGTTTTATTTTTTCAATAAATCTTTACTGATATTATCCACCTTGTTTTTCAAGTATATATTCCTATTAGCACGGAATATAACAGTGAAATGTCTGTCAAGGCACTAAATTGTACTGTTGATCGCTGGTTTTTGTGCATCACTCGTATTGGTGGACAGGTGGAGACTGTTCATTAAACTCTGAATAAATTATTCCTCTCATACTAGTGTTAACATTGTTTTGACTCATCCAGTACATCTGCAATGTTAAAAAAATGTTTACAAGACCAAATGTATTAATAATAGAAATCCACCCAATCCTAAATTGTGGCAAAAGTATCAGTCAACATGATGAAAATAATGAGGTGCTGAATACAAAATTAACCATACACTCTACCAAGCACTCATCCAATTAAACACCCATCTAGAGACAATAACAAATGAGAAAATATATTGGAAATACGAAGAACAACTATGGTCTCACAAAAATAACAAGTACCTATCTTATATATCTGTACACTTGCCATAGTTCAGCTATGATTCATTGACGATCAAGCATCAATTGTCTCGTGTAAATTAGACTTCCTTTTTTAAAACAATATGCCTATACCAAGGAGACACGTATACAGGCTTGCTTTACAGAACAGAATTCGAGTTCTTTACTTGTATTATATACATTATTCGGACTGTTATCCTCATCTTCATTGCTATATTCACAACGTTTCGGCCATTGTACGCTCCAGCCTTCTTCTGGTAAAATATTGTTGTTGAGACATTAGGTTTATAAGTCCTAGAAATTCATACACAGAGGTCCTCAAAGTCACATGGCTCAGTGGATAAAGACGTTGGTTAGATCCAGTGACTAGATCCAAAGAGTGTGAGTTTAATACCAAGCCACAACAGTGGTGAACCAACACTTGGATAGTTGAATTAAAAGGAAATAACTGAGACATCTGGAAGAAGCATGGTACGTGGAACTAGGACAATCTACCCCGGGGAATGAAATGAAAGGTTAAGTTCGAAATTTCAATCACCTGAAGCCGAAAAGTTATGAAAATGGCAATGAACCTGACATAATGTAAATAATACAAACAATCAAAATATCTCATCCCAGAAACATAGACAGTTCCTTAGATTCACTTTCGAAATCCCTGTAAACGAAGGTATTAATCCATCCCTTTATTCGCACTTCAAGCAATAGGTTAAATAGTACGATGGAACAATCTGAAAGGAGAGGTATAATTAATGAGATTTTTTCTAGAAAGGGAAATCTCGGCTATTTTCAATGAAAAATGTTCACCTTTACATATCTTTTATTCTCTTCTCATTGTTTATCCCTCCTTCGTCAATTCGAATCCACCTTGGTACTGGCATTTCTAGCATATATATATTTTTAAGCATATCACCCTAATCAAGCCGGGAGTGCGACTAGCACTCAAGGGGTTACAGAGAGTGAGCAAGAGTAAAGGCGAATGTTTGAGGAAAGGTTAAAGGGAAGGATGGCGACGCAAGAAAATTACTATTCTTTTAGTAATTCAACAAAGCTGAAATACTCTTTGATAAAGCAAAATATGTCATTTCTTTTTCTCATATTAATTTCCAAGAGAATTATTTATATAATAATTATTTATATAGAACAGTAAATGATAACAACATATTCTTCTCGGCAATTTTCAATGAAAATCCTCCCCAAGAACACTTGTTCTCCTTTACATATCTTTTTTTTTTTCACTTCTCATCGTTTCTCCCTCCTTCATCAATTCGAATCCGCCTTGGTAATGACTTTTCTCGTGATTTCCTGCACTTTCTCATATACTCTTGCATATTTTTTTCTTTTCTATACGCCTCATCACGATGATTTTATCTTTGTCGTCCTGACATTGTCCGATTCGCTATCTGGTACTTTGCTTTAGATCTTAATCATGATAATAAAAGAGAATAGTTTCCGTTGCAGACCTATTAGAAAAATACGCTATGATCATGTCGGATTCAAGTCAGTCGGTTGAAGACATTGTGACTAAGATTTTTCCCCCTTTCTCTGCGGTGTTTTCCCTTCCAATAGATATAGTAAAAGATCTTTGAAAAATTTGCCTGCGAAAATATCAGTCAGAGAAAAATGGAGGACGTCACGTTGCTTTTGATTTTTAAAATGATGAAAGTATATTGAAGAACAAGTGTAGTGTGCTTAAGAAAAGTCTGAGAGAAAAACTACATACGAACGATTCAAAAGGATGAAAAAAAATAGTAGATTCGTTAAGTGACAAAGAAGAATGAACGTTGCTTAGATCTGTGATGGAAAAGGAAATTGAAGAAGTTCTGTTGAAAGAGTGATGATTAAATATGTGGACATAAAATTCAGAATAAAGACAAGTAAAATTGATAAAAGAGAGACATATCATTAATATGAAGGCAAAAGATGAAAATGGCTGTAAATGAGAATGAAACATACGGTTGTTCGGAAAGAAATGTCAGATTTAAAATATATTTTCCCTAAATATTTTTACGCATAATTGAATATAAAAAAAAAACTGAAATGTGAACTTGGTTCTCAGATTAACAATTCCGAGCCTTTATGCATTACACTACCCACCTAATCAATCTTACAGCACCTGGTATTCCCAGACGCTCACCCGTCTAGGTGCTGACCAGGCCCGACATTGCTTAACTTTGCTGACCGTACGGGAAACAGTGTTTGAATGTGATATGGCCGGAAGCCCCTAAAGGTAAAATATAGGAAAAGCTTATTTACAGTCGAAAAAAATTCCTCATCTTTGTTGTTCCGATCAACGTTTCCATTTTCTTTTGTGCCACAATCTAAATTGTTTATATATCACTGTCTTCGTTGATTATTTAAGTACTGCACAATTATTGTTGTATCTACTTCTACAGTCCACACTGTACTACCAGATTCACTAACCACATCTTTAATAGTGAAATAAATATTCCCGTGAGACAAGGCTACATTTAGGATCCTTAAATTGATATTTTCTTCTTCTACAGCCTTGCTATAAGGGTCAACTCCCTTCGCTTCTTTCTTTGTATTTCTTTTCTTTGCCAATGACGTCTCTGTTCCCTACTCTAGTGCTGTTGGCATTTTTTTTTTTTGCTTCAATAGGCTCTTTCAAATGGGATAGTTTTGTGAAGTATAACCAAGTGCAAAGATTGTGCATAGACTGAAGCGCTTGTGTTTAATCATGTCAACAAAAACGTACTTGTGTTACGTACTCTTTCATCAGGCGGTTGTATAATTTTCTAGTAGGTCAGAAAGTAGTAGGCCATGGAAAATATGTCGGTAGTGTAGAAAAAGAGATTTAAGAGGTTGGCATTAAAATTTTGTTGTTTTGCAATGCTCCTCGTTGAACTGATTTTGTTTTGAATGCCATGTTTGTTTTACTGTGCGTGGATGATGCTGGTGCACAAAATTTTAATGGTAGTATTTTTGATTTGTAAAATTGCTGAGTTAATGCCGGTTAAATTGCTACCGAGTGTCGGATGCATGTTCTGTGAGAACATTTGAACATATCTGGTATCATAGTCTTTTTTTTTCTCAGAGAAGCAGCTATCTCTGCGTATTATTAAATCGTACCTGCAGATTTTCTTAGTTTTGTTCATGTTAACATCTTTGAAGAGTTAAAGGTCAGTGGGTCGCCTTGGCATTATTTCACACTTTTTTTGAGCCAAAGAGAAACAGTGCTGTTTAGAGTTGAGAATGGACTTCACTTTCGTCGTGTTTGAGTGGCATTTTCTCATGCGGTCAACGTAGGTTTACTTATGTATTCTAGGCGGTATCTTGTAAAAAATAAGCTGTGTTTTGCCTGCTCTAAACTTGTATGATGAAAGTCATATTTTTCGTTTAGATAAAATAAAAATTGTGATGTTTGCCGGTGGAAATAGAAGTCAAGCGCATATATGCCTATATATATATATATATATATATATATATATATATATATATATATAATAGAATAACAATAGTGTTATTGAGATGTGTGTGTTTAAACATCTCGGCAAAAATGTGTCATCAGGTTGTTGTATAATTTTCTAGTAGGTCAGAAAGAAGCAGGCCCTGGAAAATATGTTGGTAGTGTAGAAAAAGTGACTTCAGCGGTTGCTATTAAAATTTAGTTGTTTTACAATCCTCCACGCTGAACTGATTTTGTTTCGAAAGCCATGGTTGTTTTACTGTGCGTGAATGATGTTTGTGCACAAAATTTTAATAGAATTATTTTTGATTTGTAAAATTGCTGAGCTGATGCCGGTGAAATTGCTACCGTGCATTGAATGCATGTTCTGTGAGAACTTTTGAACATATCTGGTATTTGTATCCTGAAATGCCCACAACAAACATAGCGGATACGGGATGTGAGTCCACGTAAAAATGAAAGGAAAGGACATATAGTTACAAACAAATGATAATGTATTAACAATAAAGGGTTACATGTGACAAAGATATATGTGTGAAATGAATGTGAAAATTAATAGTGCAAAATGTTATATAGTGTGTCTATGATTATTTTCCTTATTTACATTCGGAATAATGCTTTCATCATTGTTCTTAGTATCACAGCTTTTCGATTTCCATTCATTAGCTACCAATCTGACTAACACTAAGTAAAATTTCGAACTGAACCTTTAATTTAATCTTCGCGGGTAGATTTTGCTCGTTCCCTCTCCAGGTCTGGGGATACGAAGCGGTTGTTAATTCAGCGTTATTCTACAGATGGGATACGTGTGCTTTGTAGAGCGGGTGCATTAAGAAAATTGAGTGATTCCATTAGCAATTTTTTCTGAATATTATCTGAAATAAGTATTTCTCCAATTTTGCAGTCCTCTACAAACATCAACCAAAAAAGTATCGAAGCCACAATCAACAATCCACACTTTCGATGAACATGTCATGTACTCCTTCGAAACAGCGTCCGACTTCGGCTTCAAATATTTTACAGTGAACATCGCTCTATCCAAAGCCTCCGTTATTGCCCTATGTGTCTCTGTAAGAATAAACTAAAACAGACTAGGGAAAGAGTAATACCAACATGCAAATCTGGAAAGAACTGGTAACAAACTGTCAACTCTGGCGCCAGGCTACATTCGCTGCTCAATTACGTTTCGAAAAAAATACTTATGAACATAGAAGTAATAAAAAATCATTAAATACAAAACAATGCTTCCACCAATCAAGTGTTTTTTTTTGTGTGGAACAATATTCTGTCAGAATCGGTCTTATTAAACAACTAAATCATAGATAAGGGCGTTGAGTAGGAATGAAAATAGTACAGGAAATAGTCGGAAATGTAAAACAGGCAACAAAAGAACTGACTATAAAAGAATGCCCCTTTGTTAATGTTTTTTTTTTTTTCAGTCATGACTGAGGAAATAATTTTTTGACTTAGCGCTTTTATCGGTATGGGCTACTGAATCTTTGAGAAAGCATGGCCACAGGAATATGCGTGTCATGGATTTTATAGTTGATTTTGGGAAATAAAATCTGTCGTTATTAGCCAACCGATGCAGGAAAACAAAACCAGGAGTAAAATAGAAGTTATTCTGATTAATTAATTCTTCTTATTTGCCTCGATAATTTTAACATTATCTGAGAAGTAGGAAAAAAAAAGCACGTAAATGTTGCTTTCCTGAGTTTATATTTTCATAAAAGATATTTCAGTTGAAATGAAACTAAACACATATTTGTAATTGGCTACTATCTGAAGTCTTTTAGCAGAGGATGGAATATAGGAGACCGACATCCGAATGTGCATTGTAACGGAGAAAGATGCATTCGAAAAGAAAAGAAAAGATTGCATAAAAGTAAAATTTGATTGGAGACTAAGAAAATGTGCTGAACTGCTATGCAATATTTATGATTCTATCTGGCAGTTAATGCCGAATAATTTCATTATTGATGTATAGGAGACATAGAGCAACAGAAGTATATTTCAATGGATGTTGTGAAAACCTTGGAAGGGGCAGGTAATAAACGAGAAGTCTTAAGAAAAATGGAAACAAAAATGGCATTTATTCTCAGAATCAAAAGGTGGCAGCTTAATATTCTTGGACACATAATGTGGGAAGCTGGCTTGGAAGCTTTAACGAGATATACCGAAGGAAAAGGAGACAGTGAAATTCATCGAGCCATCTACCTGAAGAGCTTGCATGAATGGTTTTTGGAAGAGGGTGGGAAGGATGGTACAATAATTATTTCTGAGAGCTGCAATGGACAGGAAGATGTGGCGGACCGTGTTTTCCTATGCTCTGAAGGACATGGAACATAAATGAATACTAACTACTATTGACAACGATGATGCCAATGGTTAACAAATTTCAACTTGATTATATTTACCTCCTTTTCAGTTTCCGTCGGGAAAAGGCAATATTATTTAATAAACAAATCAAATAAAACGATAGTAAAAGCTAAACAAATTTAAAATATGGAAGGATAAAAGAATGCAAAAATAATTTAAAACAAAAGAATATTTAAGGAAAGAAAGGCTAAAAAAAATATAAAGAAAAAATCGCGAGAAAAGAAAGAAAGGACTTAGGAACCAAATAAATTAGAAACAATATGAAGGTCTATAAGTTCAGCAAATCCAACATTGGCTGTCACCGGTCACATAGTCTGTGAGTACCCAATTTCTTCCCATATAAAAAGTGGACAATAAAGACTAGTATTATTCGGACTCATCCTCATTGCCATATTCACAGCGTTTCAGCAGTTGTATTCACCGGCCTTCTTCAGGTGATTGGAATTTCGAACCGAACACTTTATTTCGTCCACCGGGGTACATTGTTCGAGTTCCACGTGTCATGCCTCTACCGAATGTCTCGCTTATTTCCCTTTCTCTCAAATCTCCACGTTTTGGTTCACCACTGTTATGGCATGGTATTGATCTCACAACACTTTGGGTCTAGTCACTGGCTCTAACGTCGGCCATATGTCCTTGACGATATATGTGTATGAATTTTTTGGACTTATAAGGCTAATGTCTTAGCAACCACTTTTTGCCAGTGCTCATATTAAACGTTGTCAATAGGGCAATGAAAACGAGAATAACAGCCCAAACATGAAAATAATGCAAGTAATCATAATACCTCATCTCAGAGATATAGACAGATAATAATGAATAGGCCTAGTAAATAGTAAATTAATACACTGTCTGAAATAAAGAAAAGAGTACTGAACTGTTATACAATATCCGGCAGCAAGTGTTGGAAAATGAAATGAAGAGACTTGAACTAAAAGAAATATAGTTTTGCAAAAGCATTTTGTTGATACCACAGAGTGGACATTTGATCAACGGAGAAGTTTTAGAGCAATAGGAAACAAAGAGAACATTTATAATTAACATGAAAAAGAGACAATTGACATTGTTAGGGCACCTAATAACGAAAGAGGGTTTGGAAAATGTGATACATGACATACTGAAGTTAAGAGCAGTGGGGCAGGCATATGCGGCGACTAACATACTTAGTGAGCCCGTGTAAATGCTTGACAGAAAAGAGATTACGAGAGATAGCAAAAATACAACATATACTAAGAGCTAGAAAAGACAGGAAATTTTGGAGAAACATGATCGCCCACGTCCAAAAGGGACACGGCAAGTAGAAGATACAATTTTTTAAAGTAAATTAATAGCTAAAATTGTAACCGTTTAAAAGAGTCCGTTTCCTCACTCTCTTTATCTCCCACAAGCTCGCATTCTCTCTCGCTTTTA